AGAGTTGTTATTTTTTCCCTTGTAAATGCCCTTTTTATTATGAGTTATGTATATTTTTGTCACATAAAAATGCATTGTAGCCATTTTTAAGTGTACAGTGCAGTCATTATGTTCACATCATGCAGTCATCACCTCTGTTTCTAAACCTTTTTCATTGTTCTGAAACTCCATAATCATTAAGTGGTAACGCTTTATTTCCTCTTTCTTCAGTCCCCTGGTAAGCTCTAATCTTTCTCTGAATTTGTCTGTTCTAGGTGCCTCATATTTATGAGGTCACACAGTAGTTATCTTTTGTGTCTGGGTTATTGTGCTTATAATATTTTTAAGCTTTGTCCACACTGTACCATGTATCAGAGTTTCATTACTTCTTGTGGCTGAATAATATTTTATTGTATGCATATTCTACATTTTGTTTATTCATCTCAATGGACACATGGTTGTGTCTATCTTTTGGCTATTGCAAGTACTGCTTCAGTGAACACTGACATGCAACTATCTGTTTTGAGTCCTTGTTTTTAGTTCATTTGGAAATGTGTTGAGGAGTGAGATTGCTGGATCATAAGCAAACAATTCTTTTGTTAGCTTTTTGAGGAATCATCAACCTATTTTTCACAACTTTTGTATAATTTTACATTCCCACCAGCAATCTGTGAAGCTTCCAATGTAGGGAATTTCCTCACTAACACTTGTTATTTCTTTCTTTTTAAAAAACTCATAACCGTTCCGGTACATATGAAGTGGTATGTCATTGTGGTTTTGTTGTTGTTGTTTTTTTTTTTTTTGGTACCAGATTGAACCTAAGGGGGCTTTACTATGGAGCTACATCCCCACTCCTTTTCATTTTTTATTTTGAGTCAGGGTTTGCCAAGTTGCTGAGGCTGGCATTGAACTTGTGATCCTCCTACCTCATTTTCCTGAGTTGCTGGGATTACAGACGTGTACCACTGTGCCTGGCATCATTGTGGTTTACTTTGAGTTTCCCAAGACTAATGATTAATATCTCCCTACTGACTTTCATGTACTTACCATTCATTTTTATATCTTCTTTGGGGAAATGTCTACTAAAAGTCCTTTGCCCAGTTTTCAGTTGGGTTGTTTGTTTCTTTTCTGTTGAGTTTTTAGGAGTTATTTGTGCATTCTAAATATTAAGCCTTTATCTGATACATTTTTTGTAAGAAAAATTTGTTCCCCATCCTATAGCCTGTTTGTTTTGTTTTTCTGTGTTTGGGGGTTGAACTCAGGATCTCACACATTCTAGGAGAATGCTTTATCACGAGCTGTATCCCTAGCCGTGCCTTTATATTTTCCTGATAATGTCCTTCTATACACTGAAGTTTTTAATTTTTATGAGGTTCAATTTATATTTTTAGTGGTTTGTGTCTTTTATGTGCCAAATCCAAAGTCATGAAGATTTATATTTTTTGTTAAGAGCATAATAGTTTTTATATTTAGATTTTTGATCCATTTTGATTTAATTTTGTACATAGTTTGAGGTAGGGGTTCTCAGAGTTTTCAGCACTGGTGTATATGATCAAGTATCTTTCTTCTTGGTGGTCTCTAACACTGTGACTTCCAGTGACTAGAATGTTCCATATAATCAGACTAGTTGGATAAAAACGTGTAATTGCTAAATGAATACATGCAGAAAAGTTTGATCTTTTATTTTTACCCCATGGAAGCATTTCTACTTTTTAATTTTGTTATTTGTTTTGAAGAATTATACATATACTACATAATCAGAAATCTGTTTCTACCAAGGGATAAACTTATTTTAAAATTTATTTTCCCAGACATGATTTCCCAAAATTCTTCCTTGTCTTATTGTCATGAAGTAAGAGTTATTCATCATTCCCCGAACCCATCCCCGGGAAGCAGCAGCCCTCGGCCTTCTGTGGTGGGGCGCACAGGCCAACGGCCCAGAGGAGATGGCCAGGACTGGGATGCAGTGTCCTCCAGGTGACTGGTGGTTGTGTTCATGGGGAATTAGTAAAAAGTTAATGTGTGTGTGTTTTAATTTCAGAGGGAGATAATTAGTCTTTTCTGTCTTCTTTTTTAAATGTTATCCCAGGTATACTCTTTTCATATTTTTTACATCATGATCTACATTAAAAATAAATAAATAAATATTATGTTGAAACTTAGCACTTGGTACACAAACATATGCCCTGTGTATTTGTGTGCACCCGAACAGCCTGTTCACAAAATAGTATCTCTGTTCTACACATTGAATTATGTTTTCTATTTGTTTATGTTTCCTTAAAAAAGAAATGATGAGCTGGGTATGGTTCTGCATGCTTGTAGTCCCAGCTGCTTGGGAGACTGCAAGTTTGAGGCCAGCATGGTCAACTTAGTGAAACTCTGTCTCAAAATAAAACATTAAGAATAAAGGCAAGGGATATAGTTCAGTGGTATAGACCCAGGGTTCAATCCTCAATACTGTAAAACCCCACCAAGTTTTACCAGCTTTGAAAAGAATATGATCTAGTTTAAATAAAAAGTGTGGCTTTGAATGACAGGTACATTTTTGTTATTTTTAAACACATTCTTGTAAGTCCAATCATAATTTAAATGCAATAGTCTTTACTAAAGGAGTGACTGGAGAATTTTTTTATTAAACAAGGACTCTTCATTTATAGTATCTTATTTATTGTTTGTATAAATACAGGTTGCTCATATTATCATGTCTGCCTAAAGGAGTTGACTTAGCGTTTGTATATTGCCTTATCCTAGACTATACACATCACTAGTCTCTTCTTTAGCGTCATTCCAAAAAGTGTTTAATTACATGCATATGTATCTTTTGACCTGAGTATCATCTTTTGCTGCTGCTGCTTCTGGGGCAAGTGAATGGATACAGGTCTGTACGTGCATAAGGTGTCCGGCCACATGCTTTGCACACCTGCCCTCCTTTAGTCACCTTCATAGCAGTCTTATAGTAGAGTTGCTGTCATCATCATTGTCATCATCATCATTATCATGTTTTTCAGGAAACTCTGAGCTCTGGAGGTAGAGAGCATAGTAGTTGGTAAAGAGCTGAGCTGAGAATGCGTCATATGATAAGAGAGCCTGTGCTTTTAGTTCTTATGTGATAGATGGTTGATAAGTCTGATCCTTAACCTTTCTACCACATTCTGGTGCATTCCGTTCCTAGACATTTTTACTCCTGAGTGAACAACTTCCTCACAAGTCTTCCAGAGATTGATAGAAGTCCGGTCCACTTCTGTATTTTGGGATGCTTAGAATCTTAAGATTGAAGATATGAAAAAAACAAGTATAAAATTTGGGGAGTCTTAAATGTTAAATAGCATTTGTGTATCTCTGTGATTAAGCTTCACATCAAAAGTAAAAATTTTGAGACCCGAGTTAAGAATTCGTCAGTAAAGAAAGCCAAGGAAGATGAGATGTTCCATCTTTTGGATGCATTTTCAAAATCATTATATAATGTTGAATGTACTAAATAAAGTAATCCATTCCCATGAAGTTTTTCTGGAAATATTCTTTAGTTGCTAACACTGGCTTACATAGAATGTTTGGTAAAAATCACAGAATACCTATGAAACTATATGAACTATTTAGTTTGGCCTTTGCAAATTGATTATATAAGAGCTTTGCTGTAAATCTGCTTGTTTTCTTTCAGAAATTGTGAGTTATTATTAGTGTTGATTGTCACTATACAAATGACATGTTTCAAGATAGTTTTGAAAATCAAAATATAAATGCGTTTTTGGCTTCATGTATAACTTTCATTTTTTATTCTTAGTTTGCAGTACTGGGGATCAAACAGAGCTTTCCATGTGCTAGGCAAGTGCTCTCTACCACTGAGCTATATCCCCATCTCCTTCATGTATAATTTTAAGTCTTCTTTATGGAATTTAATCTTGGGAACTTGTCAGGATTTTTACATATCTTACCTGAACGGTTGCATAAAGCAATATAGTCTTGACCAGTGTGAGGCTTCTTAACATGAAGGGCAATAGGTAGACAGTAAATCTGCTTGAGGGTTGTTGCCATATTTAAGGTTATTGTTTGTTTGCTTTACAGCGGAAGTAATAGTCATGCTCACATAAACTCAAGGATATCTATCCTTTCACCTTTGGATATGGGACACATAGATCTTCCAGAACTAGAAACTGAAAACACATTGGAACTACAATTCCAGCAGCTGAGTCTTCCCCAGTTCTGTGTCTTCATTCTGGAATCAGCAGTTCCCCTCTTAAAAACAGGTTAGTTGTTTTTAAAATCCTACCTCTTATATGTTTTGTGTTTGTTTTCTATTTTTTTCCAGAAATTTTTTCCTTTTTGTATGTCAGGGTCTTTAGAATATATTTTTTGCTTATTTTTTTGTTTGAATTCCTAAGAATTTAATAAGGTCTTTATTATGTCTTAATTCAATGTGGATGGCATGGAATGCTAAGCAGATAGCATATCCTTTTCCACTTACGTGTTTTTATTGGCACATGCTCCATTTTTGTATTTTAAATGTAAGCACACACAATAAAATAGCCCTGGAAAAAGAGAAGGTATACTGCACAAATAGATCAGAATAAAAACATTTAGCTTTTGCTCTTCACATACTTTCTGAGTTGTTGTTCATGCCTCCTGTTTGTTTCTTACAGGCCACGAACCATTAAAAACAAAATCCCCAAATTGGACTCTTCTTACCTTTCAAAAAAAAAAAAAATCCACAAATATTCTGGGGTTATATTTTTGCTCAAAAGTTTTAGGTATTCTTTTACTAAAGAGTGGTAACAACAGCAAAACAACATGACTGACATTTAGTCTAGTAACAAAGCACATGTATTGGGTCCCCTCTAAGTTCAGCTGTTGTACTTGGTTTTATGTGCATTGTTTTTCATTTTTCTCACACCAATCCATTTCCTCCCAGTAGTGGTAGTTACCATTTTACCTAACTTTTTCAAATGAGGAAACAAGTTTAGAATGATTACAGACTTCCCTGAAGTCAGATAGCTAAATGCAGGGCTTGGCTCAAGGTTCTTCTGGGTTCAGAACACTTCAGCCTTTGTGAGGGAAAGAAGGCTTTGGAAGCAGTAATGATTTTATTTTTTTTCCCCTCTAACTCTGTATGTTTTTAGTAATTGATGAACTTGTCAGGATAGGAACACGAGCAAGTTTTGCCCTTCTTATTTTATATACTGTTAAAGTAAAAAGCATCCTGTGTTAATGGTTCTTTAAGACCTTTGGCCAATTTTTGCCTGCTTGAGGTGATGGGGAGGAAAGTAGGAGGAAAGTTTATATTTGGATAGCATTGAAATCTTTGATAATGAAGAAAACTGTCTGCTCCTGCCTCTCATTGAATAAATAACTACTTTAAGGAGTTGACTATATGTTGACTCCTATGCTTATAATGTGAAATGAAGGAATATCTGAACTTTGGCATTATAATGTGTTTGTATTTATCTGCCTGGCATACTGGAAGAACAGTTTTAGACTTAACTATTTTGCATTTAACCTTTTGTTAATTTGCTGTAAAAAGTCACATTGATAATTATAAAGCTATATCTTGGTACATAAATTTTCTAAATGTTCTTTTGCCCTTTTGTGGTAAATTATTGCATAACTTTTAATGGTGCAATATGAGAAGAGGTTTCTAAAAGAACTTGCTCCAGCTGTTTTAATGAAAAAATTAACTTACAGCCTTATGATCTAGTAGTTTGTTTATTCATTAGAAGTTAACCTTTTGGATGTGGAAAAGGAATGTCTTATCTGAAAGCTTATTTCACATAGAATCATACAAAGTGTTTTTTTTTAATGTTTTTCTGACTCTCTGGAGAAAGGAAATTGTCCTGGTGAGTGTGACTCTGACAACATAGTTTCTTTTGGAACTTTTTTGGAGTTTAAGTGGGATTAGATGGAATATCTTAAAGTTTCTTCAGCAGACACCTGCATGGACATTATTCCTTTAGTTGTTCCAGTTCAAACATAGTTTCTCATGTAACTCCTGTGTGAAAAGTACTATTGATGACAAAACCTCTTCTTTCTAATACTAGCTAGAAATTATTAGAATGCATCTTCTAAACTTGCTTGGTACTGTGCCATTTACTGTGTAACGTGGATGGTCTCTGAATTTGAAAAATTGTTTTAACCTATCTCACAGTTTTTCTGCTAGATTATTGCTGCTTTTAAACTATTATGAGCACATTTGATTTGTTTGGCCAAGAAATACTCTAAGGGGAGAGTAGGGAAGGTCCTGGGAAAGGAGAGTTGTCAAATTATGTTGTATACATTACAAGTCTGGCGTGACGCATCCCACTTTTTGTATAATTTTAATGCAGCAATGAAAAAATGAAGTGTTATGATTGGAACAGAATTCTTTGGTGGTGGTTGTAGATTGTTACTTCCTTTTTCATCTCTGTTAAGAATTCTAAAACAATTTTTAAAAAGTCAGGAAGGAACTTGGGGGCATGTCTAACTAGAAAAATCAACTAATTATTTGAAAATAAGAAAACTTTTCCCTTCTTTGCTTTCTCTTTGTATTCCTAGGTAGTAGACAGATGATAATGAGAGTTCTAGAATTGCTTGCAGAGGATATGATACTTATTGGTGAAGCAATTTCAGCTGATATCTGGGATGACAACAGCCTTTTTGCTATAAATATGGTAAGAAATCATGTTTTGTTTGGGATATGGGTAATAGTATTTTATTTGACTTTTGGTCTTTTAAGCTGGTTTCATTTGTCTTTGGAAGTTCATACTTTTATTTCTGCCACAGAAATAAAATTAGGTTTATTTTATCCCCATTCCTGAATAGGTCATTTCTCCAGAGGTTTTGGTTATTTTTAGTAGGGAAAGGTCTATCAAGACTAATAATGGGTTTTTGGGAGTGTTTATAGCTACAGTGATATCATTCTTCCCTCTCAGTAACAAAACTAGGAAATGTATGATTTAAAAAATCTTGAGTTCATATTGCTGTTTTTCTGATTTTAAATTTGTATTTCTTATACTTTTGATTGTAGAAAGTCTTAGACCCTATATAAAACAAATTGCTTAGTTAGAACCTTTAGCATACATAAAACATTTTTTTAGAATAGCAATATTAATATCACTGTGAACAACTCTAATAAAGTTCAAGATTTTCTAGCAGTTTTTTTGACTTAAACTAAATCTCAATATGTTACTGTCAAAATACTGTAATTCAAAGTCACATAAAAGAATTCTTTCTCTGTTATAATATCAACATTGAGTTGTTTCAATTTGTTTCCACTTTTGGATATTTTCTCTTCATAAAAATGTAGCTCAGTGTTGTCTCCCTGACATCCTGTTCCCTTTAAGGTTTTTTTTTGTCTAATGGTAACTATTTGAATTGTATTTTCTGGTTCATCCTCTCTATTTTTTTCTTAGTTATTAGCAGATATAAGCAAAAAAAGCATGTAGAGTTTTACCAACTTTATATATCTTACATTAAAGGTAGAATATTATGTACACTTGTTTTTATAACTTAAAAATGCATAGTGTGTGCATGAGGTAGAAGGTACAGAGGTCATTCTGTGTCCGAATGTTGGGATCTTCTTTATTCTTATAGGTTGCAGATGCTTCAGTGTGTGCATTGGTTTGTTGGTGATGATCATAATTGATAGTACAAATTATGAGTGATGCATAATTACTTATGTCACTTCATGCTTGCACAAGTGTCTCTCTGAGGAGGATTTAAGTGAGATTACTGTTCCAGAAAGTAAATATATTTTTAATTGTAGCCAACTGTCAAGTTCCCTGTGTACTTGCACCATTCCTTTCACCTACCAGCAGCATCCTAGAAGGAGCACTTTCCCAGACTCAACCTAGAGCCTAGAGCGTAAAACCAGATGTCAGGTTTTTGCCATTCTGATGAGATATTGCCTGTCAGTGTAGTAGGTTAATCGGGAGCATCTTTTTGGTAATCCTAAGAGTCATTTGCCTTTTCTTTGCCTGTAAACTCTTCATACTTTTATCTCTTCTCTCTTGGGTCATTGGTTTTTGTTCTTTTTCTCAATTTCTAATAGATTAGAAACATTGAACTGTCTGAAGTGTGTTGCAATTTTTTGTTCCTGTTTAGGTGATAGTGAGGGTGGTGGTAAGGTATTTTTAAAAAAATGTTTGTGACTTTACTAATGATGCTTCTGTCATGTAAAATCTTTATTTACTCACTTGTTTATTTTTATGTAACTTCTAAGTATTTTTTTCTTTTTAATGCCATTGTGAATGAACTATTTTAAAAATTTTATTGTTTGGATTGTTCATTCCTAGTATATTGAAATTCGGTTGGATTTTGTATATTGATTTTTTTATCCTGTGGTCTTGGTGGACATATTAGTTCTTGTAGTTGTTGTTTGTTTTAGGATTTTCTATCTATAGCATCGTGTTACCCATGAATGAAAACAGATTTAGGATCAGGTTACTATGATAAAGACATCTTTATTGTTCCTGCCCAATTTGGATGCCCTGCAATGATTTATGTCACCCCGTTGTCTTGTTGGAACCTTGGTACCATGTGAATGTGTGACAGGAGCCTTATCTCTGAGGGGAGGCATTCAGTATTTCACTGTTAAATGTGATACTAGTTCTACAAAACTAGAGTTTTGTAGATGCCTCTGTAAAGTTGAGGAAGTTTTCTGTATTCCTAGTTTGTTGTTTTATCATGAAGTGTTGGATTTGTCATAGTTTTCTGTGTCTGTTGAGATGATCACTTAGTTTTTTGAGTAGCAGAAGTCCTTAATTTT